CACCACATGCTTGAACCAAGGCAGTAGCCAAGCCTCCAGGAATCCTGGCAGCAGGAGCCTTTGAAGGCCTTGGTGGCTGGGCATGTTGAAGAGACTTCCTAGGTCGCCCAGTGAAAGCAGGGTACCCCACTGTTCTCTTCTCAAGAGAATTTTTACTTTTACTTCTTTGAGTCTGAGATGGTCTTGCCATTTTCTGAGATGCTCCCAAGCCATCTTATAGTTTCAGGGCAAAGTCTTTAGCATTTCTTTAGTGGCACATGATGTCTTTAATAACTTAAATGTCCTTAGCCTCAGTTTTACTCCCACCTTTCAAGTCCAAGTTTTTCAAATCTTTCTGCTCCTGAATGTTATATAAACTTGGCTAAAAGCCACCATAAGTATCTCAAGACACAGACAAAATGCAGACAACTTCTCAGCTAGAACATAACATGAATGGTCTCTAATCCAGTTTCCAATAGGATCTTCCTTCTCTAAACCCTCTTGAGCCCTGTCTTCACTGTCCACAGTCCTATTTGCATTCTAGTCTTCTGAGGTCCCACCAGAATCATCCATTGAGCTCTGCTTACAATAACCTAAAACATTGCTTGCTAGAGTTCTCAAAATTCCTCCCACCCATCCCAAAAATGCTTCAAAATCTTCTGAAACACATAGTCAGGTTAGTTACAGCAATGACCTCACTTCTCAATATTAATTTCTATATTAGTCAGCTTTCACTGATGTGACCAAAAGACCTGGACCAGAACAATTGTAGAGCAGGAAAGGTTTATTTGGGGGCTCACAGTTTCAGAGGTCTCATTCATAGGTAGCTGGCTGCATTACTCAGGGGTCGAGGTGAAGCTGAACATCATGGTGGAAAAGTGTGGCAGAGGAAAGTAGCTTACATGATCATCAGAAAGCAGAGAGAGAGAGAGAGAGAGAGAGAGAGAGAGAGAGAGAGAGAGAGAGACAGACTCCAGATAAAAAATATATACCCAAAAGGCATACCCCTAATGCCCACCTCCTCTAGCCACACCATACCTGCCTTCAGTAACCACTTAGTTAATCCTGTCACAGGTTAATTAACTGATTGAGTTAAGTCTCTCATAACCCAATCATTTCTCCTTTAAACCTTCTTATGTTAGCTTTTCGGGGACACTTCACATTCAAACTGCAAAAAGTCCCTAGGGTTGTGATGATTTTACTTCTCTCTAAAATAAAAACAAAAATTAACCCTGATCTTGGTTAAAAAAACTGAAAACTAAATTGCATTTGAATTCAGATTGCTTTATTTTAGYTCCATTTTTTAATTTTGAGAACTTTAATGGAATGTTACTGTTAGGAGTTGATTTATTAGGACATAATTTACCATTTTTCCAATTGCTAATAGATGTTTTCCCTCCTTGGTTCCAAGAAGTTAGTCAAACCTTTCTGTTTGTCAACTCAGTGGCTTCTATGTTACATGCCTATCCATAACTCTGCCAGAAAACCACAGAGTATGTCAGCTCCACATTACTGTAATAAAATATCTGAAGCAATTAACTTATAAAGAGAAAGGGTTTATTTATTTAGCTCATAATTTGTATGTTTCAATTCAAGATTGGGCAACCCTATTGACTTGGCCTCTGATAAGTATGGCAGATGGTAACAGCAGAAGCACATGTTGGAGCAAGTCTCATGTCATCAAACAGGAAGCAGAAAGGGAAAGAGGGAAGAAGAAAGAGACTGGGTGATCAGGGGTTCCCACAATCCCTTTGAAGGGCACTCAACATCTTAAAGGTCTCTTATTAAGTCTCTTAAATGTCCACAGCGCTTCCTAATACTGCCACGCTGGGGACAAAGGTTTTACCTGTGGACTTTTGGGGGATACTCATATAAAATATAGCAGCTACCATAGCCCTAAATCCTCAGAGTAGTGGAAGATAGAATGCAGACAAGCTTGGAGGATAGAGACAAAGATGGCCAAGTAGCATAGGGACACGTTGGGATGCCAAGAGAGAGGGCAGGTGCTTCATATGGTGTCACCAAACTTCTGACCTTGAGAGATAGGAAAAATCTGATAATGCTAGGATGCATATTCTACCAGTACCACAGGATAGGGGTGTCCAGCCAGTTAAATTAGCTATGAACAATTTAAGGAATGTGGAAAATCTTACCCCAGCATTGAAGAGTAAAATTCATATCTGCTTTTGTGATGTGTGTAGCAACATCACCTACCAACTCTTCATTAGGGTGTGGAATACGGCTACCTAGTATGCTTGGGCTGCTGTAACAAAAACAACACAGATCAAGTGGCTTATAAATTGAACAGGAATTTATTGCTCACAATTCTGGAAGCTGGAAGGTCTAATATCAAGGTGCCAGCAGACTCGGTGTCTGATGAGGGTCCAGTTCCTGGTTCATAGATGGCTCTTTCTGGCTGTGTCCTCATGGAGGTACTGGGCCGCTGGTATTCTGAGGTCTCTTTTATAAGGACACTAATTCCAACCTCCCAAAGGCTCTGCCTCTTCATACTGTCACCTTGGGGGTTAGGGTCTTAACATGAATTTGGGGGGCATGAATATTCAGACCACAGCAGTGACTGAGAGAGCTTAGGCAGACCATGAGTCCAAGTGGCTTCACTCCCATCGGCATAGGAGACTGGAAGGAAGAGGTGACAGAGGATCTCACCTCTGAAAGGACTCTGGGAAACCAGTCTGGTGACACTTAAGAACTGTCACATTAATCAACTCTAAGTTGTCGCCTCTATAAATCATCTTTGTTGATTTGAATGGCTGAAAAGCAACTTGTATATACGTAAATTTTTACCAAGACTAACTCCATCCATCGTAAAAGTTGATTTTTAATAACATCAGTTCTATATTTAAAAGGAGAGTTGGTGGAAGATGTTTTGTTGTGTTGCTTCATAACTGTACAGCTTCTTAAAATGCCTCCCCTGCTTGTGAATAGTGGAGTCACAATTACATTAATAATAATAATGACATTTGAGGTCACTTTATTCATTGCATTCAAGTTATCACCTGGTATAACAGAAGTTCCTTGTGGAGTTGGGGTGGGCAGGCAGGGATGACCTACAGGTGTAGATACCTCAGAGTTATAACCTTGACCTCTCCACCACTTATTTGCCCTGAAGTACTGAGCACATCAATTCATGTTGTGGACCCCAAAGTCCACTGCTACAAAGTAAGGAGAAGACTATAAATCTAAAGTCCTTTTTAATTCCAAGTGTCTACTGCATTTTGGGATGGGACATTTTCCTCTGTCAAGTGGATTTTACAGGAATTATGGGTCGACCCAGTAGGCCAGAAAAAGAYAAGCGTGCACACCATTTGACAGATACCAAACCCTCCTGAAAAACCAATTTGATATTTGGCAGGGGGTGAGGCCAGAACAAGTATTTCTTTCATTCATTTGTGCATTCTTTCATTCACTCATCCAACAAATGTCTTTCAAATACCCACTGTGTGCCCACATTGTTCTAGACAATGGAATGCAGCAGTGAACAAGACAGAAAAAAAAAAAAAGGTCAGTCCTTTCATACCAATGACAGAAGCCACAATAAACAAGATAAATCAGTATACTACTTAGTATTCAAGATAGTGGAAAATGCTCAAAAGAAGGTCAATGAGAGGGTGGGGGGAATATGTAGCAAGGCTAAGTTGAAATTTGAGGCAAGGAATCTAGGCTTAACCCTAAGTTCTGATTACTGAATCACCCACAATCCCCTGGGACCGTGCTGGGCTGAGCAGACCTGTGAGGGACTGGAAAGGACAGAAGCTCAGACTCAGGGATCTTGGGTCTTCTCTGCACTGCTACTCCACAGCAGTGGTCTTAGGAAAGCCTCAAACCCTTTTGAGCTTAGTTTCTTTCTCCAGTAAAGTGGACATTCAGTATCCACATCTTGCACTGTTTGGGGGATGACATGGTAGAAGGATGCCAAGTATCTAGTATGCATCTCACCCTGAGCCCCTGAGTTCCTCTTTCCTGCTGCACCTGGGGCAGCAGGGAAGGGCGGCTCCTGCAGCATCAGCCCCCTTCTGCACATGACGTGTACTCTACTTTTGCCTTTTCCCTTTTCCCATACTCACAGTGTGAAGACCCACAGTGCAGGTGATAGATTGAACTACTACTGGCCCTCATTCTTCACCTCCTATGGAGGGAAGTCCATCCATTTCCTTGTTGCAGCTTTATTGTGTATTTTTCCAGTCCTCCACTTTGGATCTGGCCATCTGGCTATGTGACTTGCATTGTTCCAGGGGAGGTAAGCACTGTGACCCAGGCAGATGCTTGAGACGTGTCTCTGTATCTAGACTTGCACTCTCATGCTCTTGGCATCACTATGAGAGAGGTTAGTTCTGGGCAGCCCATGTGCCCTAGAAGAAAAAAAGCATGGACTTGAATTGATCCTGAGACATGGAGCCATGCCCAGCCAAGCCTGCCTTACCCTGGTCTCCCTACTGACACACGGCTGAGAAGTAGATGCCTGTGCCAGTGTGGCCCTGAGATTTAATTGCTAACAAAGCTGATTAGTGCAGACAGTGAGCATAACCTCATGTACGTGGTGCCCAGTTTGCCAGGCAGTGAGGTGATTGCTGTTTACATCTTCCTTGTGACTCTGACAACATCCATCAGACAAAGGGCTTATTGCCTCCATTTTACAGATAAGAAAACCAAGGCTCAGCAGATTGAAGGAACATGGCTAAGGTGTCAGCTCACAGATGATAGAGTCCAGATGGAATGCACACTTGCCTGACTGCAAAGCTGATGTGTGCACCGAACATGTTTCCATGAAGATAAACAGGCAGAACCAGAAGCAGCCCACTCCCTGTGCCAACGGTCCCATCAGCCTGGATGAGCAAAGTGCATCCTCTTATTTTATGACTTCATTTCTTGCAAGATACATCACAAGTTCTGGTCTGTTTTTTCCAAATTACAACAGAGCTGCAGTATTGTGATGGCCTTGAGGCAGGCCAGGGAGCTCCCTCTGCCTCATCGCTGAGTTAGGTTTGCTCCTCTGTCACCTGTTAACTGTGAGAAGTCATGTGCCTGGAGAGATGGTGGCGCTCCCGGAAATACTCACGGCAAACAGGGCAGATGAGGGCCTCTTCCCTGCGCTTCTTAGAATGTGGGTCAGGTCCCACATGCTCCTTTTTGTGGTGGGATCGCATATGGAAGACCAGGTCAGAGGTCAGGCGAAAGGAGAGGCTGCACTTGGCACACCAGTTCTGGGTGGAGAAGCCCAGGGAGGTGATTGTGGGTGGCAGGAGGGCCCGTGAGGCTGTAGAAGATGTGGGGACCTGGGCCTGGGTGTGCTCCAGCCACAGCACAGGGGCACCCTGGAAAGTGCTGCAGAGCAGAGCATTCTGTGACAATGTGTGCAAGTTCCAGAAATCGCCAACCACCAGCTTGGAAGTTGACATTCCACCCCAACAAGGGATATCTAGAGTACTGAGAAATCCTGAGAGCTCCATTAGGGAGTCTGCAGATTCACCTGCTTGGAAGAGGGAGGTTGGCCCAGGCCTCTCTGCTCGGCGCTTGGTGGGTTTGCTGAAGGCGCTCCTCTGCTCACCTCGGGCCGTGCCAGGCCACACAGAGGAGACTGTGCTGCCCACTGGGGTCCTGGGAACATCTTGGCTATGCTGCTGAGGGTCAGGCTGGCCTGAAGCATCTCTGTGCTCCTTCTCCTGATCACCCCCTCGTCTCTCATGGAGCTGTGGCACGTCCATGAAAGCACTCTGCCTCTCTTCCCCATGTGCCTTCCTGGGCAGTGGCTTGCCCAGACTGGGCTTGTCTGGAACTGTTGGCACAGCCAACTCAGCACTACCCACAACCAGGCCACCCCTACTTGTGGCAGTAACGGAGCCCAAGTGGTTTGTTTTCTCAAGCAGCACCTGCTTGTGACCCAAGCTCTGCTCAGGACCACTAATCCCCCATCTGTTTTCAGCTGAAGTGCTCAGAGGAGCCCCTTTCCCAGCAGCCATGATGATCAGCAGGGGCTGGGCAGGCTGAGCAAGGTGGACACTCCAGCAGCCATCAGTCTTCAGGGCTTTGGAGTTATGAAGGCCTGGTCTTCCCAGAAGGAGTCAGGAGATTAGAGAATTGCCAGTGAAGAGTAGGCCAAAGACACTCAGCCCCCGGGGCTCTAAGAGAGAGGAAGCAACAGGAAGTGAGACTGGCCATTCACCACATTATGCAGGCTGATGGCAGACAAGCCACCTGATTCCTGGGATCTCCACCACTGTTTATGAAATGGGAGAAGTGGCCACACCACCCCTGAGGATAGGATAGGAAATTAAGATAGGACAGGATAGAATACGAGAGGAGAGGAGAGGAGAGAGAAGGGGGGAGGGAAGGAGAGGAGAGGAGGAACTCAGATGATCTCAGACTCCAGAGCTCACCATTCAGCAGCAGCTGGAAAGCACCCAGAATAGAACAGCAGACTCCTGGCATAAATGGCCACTGGTAATTAACCACAGGAAGGCTGATAATTGGAGAGGCTCTAGGAAAAGGGAAGGGAGCTTGCTCTAGAGGCAGAAACTCCAGGGTTTTCTGGATCCTCTCTCAACAAACAAACCCAGCATGAGAAGCTGCATACTATCAGGTCCTATTACAAATCCAGCTCCCTCAACTCTGAGAGTCAAGGGCCCAGGGGAGGCCACAGCATCAGAAGGTCACAGCATTGGAGGACTGTGGACCTCAGAGTTCTTGTTCCTCACTCCATCCCTTTCTCTGCCTGCTCTAACTTTGACCCACTATTCCTCAGGCTGCCAGCGGGATCTGTTTATCTTGCTTCACAGTCTGCCAGGCAAGGTGCCCCTTGTCCACCTCACAGACCCTTCCTGCTTCTGGCTGGCTTCCTTAAATTTTCTCTGAGCCAGTTTCTTATTAGATCACATGTCTCTACTACTTCCCCCATTCTCGTCCTAGCACCATGCGAATAGGTGGTATCCGTGATCACCCGGACAGTGGCTGCCTCTCTGTTCTATGCATTCTTGCCAGTCAAGCTCCCTAGAATGATTGAAATGCCTCTCCTCTTCTGCAGCACCTAATCATGCCTTCACAGGACAGGTACTCAGGAAACCTCTGCTGAATGAATAAATGAAGTGATAGGGAATGGGTTTAGCAGACTTTAAAAGTTTACTTTGTCCTCACAAAGGGTGTGCTCCACAGCTCAGGCAAAGGCAGAAGTCACTATTGGCAGCATAAAGACGTCCTTTACTTTCCACGTCTGACGTAAGATCAAAAGATGAGGTCCCACAAAGGGTGTTTAGCTCTGTCCCATTCCCTCATCTCTTGTTGCCCTTGGTCTTGTACCTCCGGTGAGAACCTGTCCAGTAGCAGCCAGTGTCAGCTAATTGATGTGACTGGGAAAAATGCTGAATCGCCTTTGGGTGTTGAGTGACTGTGAGGGTGAGGGCCACAGAAACTGCTCAGCCTGAAAGCACCCTTCCTTCAGGTGCTGGATTGTTCACACTCTGACCATAGCTGAATGAAGGAGATGAGGGGTCAGAGCTGCCTAACGAGAGAATAAAACAAAGATGTTCACTGCAGTATTATTCATAGTGGCAAAAAACAACATCTAAATAAATGCCTGATTACAAAGACATGGTCAATAAATTATGATGTACAAACACGATGAAACATGCTATTTTGGAAAGTGACATTTACTAGTCTTATGATTTAATGATAAAGAAAAAACAGGACCAAAGATTGTATATTTGGTGCAATCTAGTCTGTGAAAAAAAAAAAAGCCAAAGGAGGAAAAAATCCTAGAAGGAAATAATAAGAAATAGTATACAGAATAACTACAAGTTTTATTTTTTATTGATTCATTCTTTTATTCATTCAGCTAGCATTCACTGAGAGCCTCCTGCATACTGGCTTGTACTAGGGGCTGTGGGGACAGTGGTGACAAGGATGCTGTGTTGGTTAGAGAGGACGGAGACCAGTGCCCAGGGAAGGGGCGGGAGAAGAGGGGAGGGAAGCCAGAATAAAGTGGACCAGACTGTTTTTATAAATAAATGATTCACTTTAAAACTATGGCTGTACAACTACAAGTGTTTTACTAAAAAGAAACGTACAATATAATGTTAAGAACGATAAACACATTTGTGGTATTTCTGCCAACAACAGAACACATGTACAACAGTGGTTCTATGAGATTGCTTCCCTTAGTGATGGCATAGTCATCCCAGTTGGTATAACTTCACTCTGTGATGGTCACACCAATGACAAAATCACCTGATGATGCATTTCTCAGAATGTATGCTGTCACTAAGTGAAGAATGAGTGTATATTGTAGAGCAAAACAATATACGCCATGGTGATCTTAGTATGAAGATGCTTTAGTCAGCTTTCTGTTGCTGTGACTAAAATATCTGACATAAACAACTTAAACAAAAAAAGTTTATTTTGGCATATGGTTTCTGAGGATTCAGTCCATGATCAGCTGACTCCATTGTTTTGGGCCTGAGGTGAGTCAGGACATTATGACAGATGAGTGTGGTGGATGAAAGCTGCTCCACTCGTGGAATTCCTGGAAGCAGAGGGAGAGGAAGAGGCCAGGGACAAGGTGTACTCCCTAAGGACATGTTCCCAAGGACCCAGACCCTTCAGCCAGGTTGCACCTTCCATAGCACCCACTACCTTCCAGTGGTCCCTTTAGTTATCAGTGGATTAACAGGTCAGGGTTCTCATGATTCAATCACTCCCACAATGCCCCCACCTGGGGACATTGCTGTACTGGGGACCAAGTCTTTGACACAGGAACTGTGGGATACATTTTCAGATCCAAATATAACAAATGAAATTTGGAGGAATTATTTTTTTCAATTTTCTAATATTTTAAAACTACGCTGGTCTCATTTTAACCTTTTGGTTTATTAAACTGTCAACCATGTTGAAGGGGACTGTGTCCTTTCCTGCTTGGTCTGGGCCAGAATTCTATCCTGGTATATTTGTAGCCCAGAAAAGATATTTTGACTTCAGGGGAAATATTTTCCTATCTGCTCTGAAACCACCTCTGAGGGAAGCTTCCCTCCCATTCCTTACTCTCCCTTGGGAAGGAGGATTACTCTAAAGTGCACTGGCTGGAATCTCCTGGAAGCTAAGGGACCTCAGAGCCAAGGCAGTTGGTATAGGTGGATGGCTGTATGTTGTAGCAGCTTTGGGGTCTGTTTATGCTGCCTGGAGAAATTTCACCTTAGCAAAACTGGACCTCGGATCTGAACAGGCATCCAATCCTTGGAACCACAGAAACAAAAGGAGAATTTTAGAGGAAAGAGGAAAAAATGCCCAAGAAATCTTTGCAAATGAAATCAGAGGTCAGAGGCTTGGAAAAGTCCCCCTCTTAGAACAGACCAGATAAAGAAAAAATACCATGTCCTACCACGTTAGCCTCTATGCCTGAACTGTTCAGTGTGCCCTGAGCTCAGGAAGTGACTACCTTCTTCTCAGCTCTAAAAATGGGGACACATAGTTTTGTAGCAGATCAGAATGACAGCTATCAGGATACTTCATGATATAAATATATAAGTCACCATTTATCAGCTGCATGTGACCCATGCCAGAGGCTTAATGCACTTGATTTCATTTAATTTTCACAGCAACCACATGAAGGAGGTTGCATGTCTCAATTCAAGTGCCTTTATCTCCAGCCTGCTGCATTCCATCTCACAAAAACCCATCATGGTGTTCCAGCTTTTCAGACCATGTAGATCTGGACACCTGCAAGAAGTGGTTTAGGTATCCTGCAACTTCATGCTTAATTGATTCCATCCTCCAAATCTTCAGAAGAGGAAGGAAGAAAAGGAGGATGAGGAAGAAAAGAAGGAGATGAATCTACAATAATAAAGAGAAAGAGCAAAGAAAAGATCCATCTTTGGATTTTGTCCACATCTCCCTGATGCCTAACACCTGTCAGATGAACACTGCAGATGTGAGATCTCATCTCCAGATCATGTCACATCTTAGCCAGAGGGTTCTCTGGGCCAGGAGCCTTGCCAACTCACAGTGTTCAGTGCTTATTTGCTCTTCTTTCCTGTGGATATGTGCCACTATCCTATGCACCTGCAAGGTCATTCTCTGTCCAGATGTTCCCTAGGCAGAATAGAGCTGCTCCTTCCTTTTTCTCGTCCCACACACACCAGCTGCCCTAAGCAGTGATGGATATATGTGGTCCTTGTTCTCCTTGTTCTCAGCCTAATATGAAAAGTGCCTTTGTTATTCTCATCTCTCCTCAATAGCCTCAGCTCGTCCTGGGCTCTGTGCCCTTAGACTCTTTACTGGTCCTCGTCACTCCATCATTGAGCGTGTCCTAAGAAAGGACTCTTTTTTCCATCCTTGGTTCTTTTCACTCTGACTCCAACAAGACTTCCCTCTGAATTGTACATATATCATTCAGAACCACCCCATGTTCTTCATATTTGAAAGAACTCATTGAATTCCAAGGCTCCCCAACCACTTTCAGAGTGCTTAGATCATGGGATCAAGAAGTGATGTTCTTGGACACTTTCTGACACTGAGCTCCCCAAGTTTGCAGAGGTGGGTATTTTTCCATGCCTGTTCTTTCCTACCATAGTGAATACTTGCTTCTAAAGCTCCCAATCCTCCTGGGCCTCCAACCATTGTGCTCCTATTGATACATGCTGCAAAGGGTACATTATGGTAAATGAAGACTCGCCCAGCCCACAGTGGGGAAAGCAGCTCTGGATAGACTATTTCAACATTTGGGAAGCTCTGGCCATATTCTTTCACATGACCTTGCTATCTACGCCTTAGCTGGGAGTTCTAACTAACTGTTAAGCTCTATATCCACAGAGATCAAATGCATGGGCTCTAGAGCCAGAAGGCCTGGACTCCAATCAGGCTCTAGCCTGTGACCTTAGCAGGGTGCTCATCTTCTCGATGCCTTTGTTTCCTCATCTGTAAAAAGGATCACCTTGGTGCTCACTCCACTAAATTGTTGGAAAGACTAGATGGATCAATATATTTAAAGTTCTAAAGAGCTTGGTTCAACACACAGTTTGGAGATAT